GCGCCTGGCGTGTTTTAAGCCACCGGGTCCAGGATGCGAACCATGGTCGACTATGTGGGAGTCCAGTGACATAGCCATTACACTAACTGCTGGTTCCCTCCAGGAGCAGTTTTATAGTTTGGGGTCTTAGGTTCAAATCTTTGATCCACCTTGAGTTGATTTTTGTCAGTGGTGACAGGTAGAGGTTCAGATTCATCTTTCTATAAGTAAATATCCAGTTTTTCCAGCACCAGTTGATGAAAAGGTTTTCCTTTTCCCAGTGGATTAACTGGTACCCTTTGTCAAAAATCAATTCACTTAAAAAAAAATAAAAAAAGATAATAATGAATAGGAATAGGAGACCTAAACTCTTTAAACTGCCTTACTAGGTAGAATGAATTAAAAGGAACTGAATCCAGTTTTGTATTTAATTAGATTCTTAATATTTTCCAAGAAGATTCTTAAATTATTTTGATGCTTTCTCCTGTCTCCAAAGGCCATGCTCTCACTGCTACATTTAGTTTTTTTTTCATCCATGTTAATTACACAGATGACTCATTTGTGATTATTGAACCAGAGTCACCAAGGACCCTTTTGCTTATTAACTTTGTTGTAGATTTGGTAAATAAAATAATTATCAAGCTTGAAATTAGAAAATCCTCTCTAATAGCAAAACAGTTCAGAACATCAACTCTTCCAAAACAACCCAGAGATCTTTCCTTTTTAACCTGCCCTTCCTTTCAGTAATAAAGTTTTATTTTAAAAAAATACTATTTTCTGGTCATAAAATGATACCACATCTATTCTGAAATAAATTGAAGCAATTAATTAAAATAGAAAACAAGAAAATCATACACTCAGTCTACTGTTAACATGGGAGTGATCAGATTCAATCAGATTCTACCAGAAATTCTCATGATCATTTTCAACATTATCTTCATTTTCAAATTGTAGCTGTAAGAATAGTTTTAGTTAAGCAACTACAAGAAGGATGCCTTGGTTATCTGCCAGAAATGTAAGTATGCTACATTCTGTTATTTCACTTATATTTTCTTTTTTGATACTTGGGTCAAATGTACCCCTTATAAATTAATCTTCCTGATTACATAAAATTTAGAAAATACCTATTGATAGAGTATATGTGAAGAAGTAAAGAAGCACTAAAAACTATTACCTTTTTGCCAGTAAGAAAGCAATGTATGGAAATGCAAACCAAAAGAGGGACAGGTAAAATGGGTATGTGGCAAAAAAGGTAAGTTATAAGAGAATGAAATGAATATTTTATGGTTAAAAATAGCATGCTACTTATAAAATTCCTAAACTTTATCTGAAAAGGAAGATGTTTAAATTGGAATAAATTGTATAATTAAAATCATGGGGAAAAAAGCACAATTATAATATATTGCTGATTGGAGGTACTAGCAAAAGAACATCATTGTGACCAGTCATTGATATAGTTACAGTATGTTTATTTTTTATTTCACCAAGTACTTTGATAAGTATTTTATGTAGTTTGTCAAATTTTTTTTAACAAGATATGTATAAAGGAGAGCATTTTTCATTCCATGATGAGATGACAAAACCGAAAAAGTGAACTCAAATTGTACTTGGAAAAAAAAAAATTAACAGTTAAAGCTTATTTTTTTTTCATTTTTTATCTTATTTTATTTTAAGTTCTTTTATACATTCAATCATGTCATTTAGTTTGCAAAGTGAATATTCCAACATGTTTACATTTCTCCCCAGTCCAGTTGATAATACTATAAAGTTATCTTTTTTTGTATGTTGATTTGTTAATAACATATACGGTTTGGGTGTGTTCCAACTTTGACTAAAAAGATTTAAAAGCAAAAATGGTTGTGATGATTTTGTACATCACTATATACTTAATACTTAACGTACACTACAGTAGGAAAAGTTTGTAATTTTAAACAGTTAATGGGACCAGCAGTTGGCATAATGGCTATGTCACTGGACTCCCATGTAGTCGACCGCAGCTAGAGTCCTGGACGGACCCAGTGGCTTAAACTCACGCTGTGCACAGGTGCATGTGTGCCTAAGATCCCCAGAGGAGACTGAAGGAGAAGGGATTGTGACATGGCCATTGCTTTGGGGGGTCATTTTCATTTTCTGTCTCTCTGTCTCTCTCTGTCTTTCTGGTGACCGCATGCACCCTATAGCAAAAACCTCTCAAAAAAAAAAAACAGTTAATTAGGGAAATCAGCAAGGAAGAAGTTGTTCCAAGAATACATAAGTATTTTTAATTTATTTTTTATTTTATTTGTATTATTATTATTACTTATACATTCAATCGCCATACATCATTTAGATTGTAAAGAGATTTTAGCCAGCATGATACACATCTCAGTCCAGTTGAGAATACTATACCCATCCTCATCAACAGATAACAAACTATGTCCGTGTCCTACTAATTTTTCCATCATGATTACCATGCGTGTCAAGACAAAGACTTTACTATCCACGTCATCATCAAATAGCTTTTTATCATGTTTTAGATTCTTCTTCTTATTATTTATTCTCATTATTTTTTTAAACATTCAATCACTATATATCGTTTGGCTTGTAAAGAGAATTCACCCAGAATGAAATATTTCTCAGACCAGTCCAGTTGAGAATACTATACATGTTATTATCAACAGGTAATAAACCATTCCTGTGTCCCAAAAATGTCATGCCTCTCTATTTGTTCTCATGCTATCCTTCTCTATACTCTACCCTACTCCCACCCCTCACCCCCATTCCACACTGTCTTCAGCATCCATAACTATTTTCACTGCTTTTTATGACCTTCAACATTTCTTTTTTTAATATTTCTTTTTTGATTTTTAATTTATATTTTTATTATCATTCATATGTTAAACGCATCATTTAGATTGCAAAGAGACCCAACATGATATACATCTCAGTCCAGTCCAGTTGAGACTACCATACACATCCTTGTCAACAGATAATAAACCTTATCTGTGTCCCACAAGTGTCTTACCTCTCCATTTCCCCCCCAAATTTCCTATGCTCTTCCCCTCCCACACCCTCTTTCCACTCCAAAATTTCAATCTCTACCATAGAGTGCACATAGTCAGTATGTATTACATGAATACATACAATATTTCTTTCATAGCCTGGCTTACTTCCCTCAGCAATAAATCTTCTATATTTGACCACCTTCTATCAAATGTCCAAGTCTTGTTGTTTTTTATGGTTGAGTAGCATTCCATAGAGTATATGTGACACACTTTTTCAATCCATTCCTCTGTTTGTGAACATTTGGGTTGGTTCCTTGTCTTAGCAATCGTGAATAGTGCTGCAATAAACATGGATGTGCAAGCGTTTTTCTGACTGAGCAAGAATACACAAATTTTAATATTTATAATACTAGATATAACTCAACATCTTCAGCAATGTATGAGTAGAGCCTTTACAGTAAATGCCAATGTATTTATTATATTTTTGCACTTTATCAATAACAAAATTTCAAGAAAGTACATGTAGATGAAAAAATAATTGAAGATTCAACTTTAGATTTCAACCCACTAGCAGGAAGGGATGAAAACTCAGTATCACAAATCATTAGCAATAAATCTGTTACTGGAAATTAAATCCAAAATGCAGATGAAATAAAACATAAATTGAAAATTAAATGTGATGAAAACAAAGAGCAATAATAGTTTAAAGTATGGCAAAGATAAAGCAATATTTTTAAAATCTCTACTAAAAGGATCAAAAATGCACAATTATGGAACTTAAGTTGCCAGTGTTTTTATGATATTTATAAACAAATATTTTCAATGTATGTGAGTTTGTTTCGTTTTGTTTTGTTGTGCAAATATATCTGATTTTAAATACAGATTTAGTGGAAATAAAAAGACGATGATGAGAAACCACACGATAACAACATTTATCCTGCTGGGGCTGACCGATGATCCACAACTGAAGGTTGTGATTTTCATCTTTCTGTTTCTCGCCTACCTGTTAAATGTAGCTGGGAATCTGATGATCATCTTCCTCATCATGGTGGATTCACACCTTAAAACTGCCATGTACTTTTTCCTACAAAATTTCTCCCTCTTAGAAATCTCATTTACATCTGCTTGTATTCCCAAATACTTATATAACCTATCTACAGGTGATAAAACAATCACATATGACAATTGTTTCATTCAAATGTTTTTTACTGACCTATTGGCTATCACGGATTTTTTTCTCCTGGCCACCATGTCCTACGATCGCTATGTAGCCATTTGCAAACCCCTGCATTACATGACCATCATGAACAAAAGGGTCTGTCAAAGACTTCTCCTTTGTTGCTGGGCAGCTGGTTTCTTGATCCTACTCCCACCATTTAGCCTGGGACTAACTCTGGAATTCTGTGACTCCAATGTTATTGACCATTTCCTATGTGATGCCTCCCCAGTCTTAAAGATCTCATGCACTGAAACATGGCTCATAGAGCAGATGGTCATAGCTGGTGCTGTGTTAACCTTTATCATGACCTTTTTCTGTGTGACTCTATCCTACACATACATAATTAAGATCATTATACGATTCCCTAATATCCAGCAAAGAAAAAAGGCATTTTCCACCTGTTCTTCCCACCTGATTGTGGTCTCCATCGCCTACGGAAGCTGCATCTTCATCTATGTTAAACCGTCAGCCAAGGATTCAGTAGCCATTAACAAGGGTGTAGGAATCCTCATTACTTCCATCTCTCCTATGCTGAACCCCTTCATTTACACACTGAGAAACAAGCAAGTAAAACAAGCCTTCAATGACTTAATCAAAAGAACTGCACTATATTTAAAGAAGTAATGGAATTTGCTATTGTCAAGTAATTTCAAGTTTTACCAACAGAGTACTGGTTCCTAAGGATGTATCTTTAGGCTTTTACATCATTCCTTTCCTATCCAAGTAGCTATTTCAGGGCGACACATCTCCAAAAGAAATATAATGGCCTTCTAGCAAACAGAAGAATGACTTCACATATTAAAAAGCATTTGGGAACCAGCAGTTAGCGTAATGGCTATGTCGCTGGACTCCCACATAGTCAACCGCGGTTCGCGTCCCGGACCCGGTGGCTTAAAACTCACGCCGGGCGCGTGTACGTGCGTGCCCAAGATCCCGAGAGGAGAATGGAGGAGAAGGGATTGCGGCATGACCATCCCCCCTGGGGGGTGATTTCTCGCTTTCTGTCTCTATGTCTCTCTCTGTCTGGTGAGCGCATGCGCCCTATAGTGAAAATCCCTCCCAAAAAAAAGAAAAGAAAAGCATTTAACATACACAGGAATGTACGTAGATGGGGCAAATGGGTTGTGGAACACCACATTATAATGGAGTGGGGAAAAAAGACACTATCAATCATAATGAAGTGCTCTTTATTGAAAACAATGAATATGGCATTATCCTTGATTTGATTGTTACACACTGCATGCATGCTTTGAAAATCCACATTGTACCCCACAAGGATGTACAATCACATGTATGTAAGAGATTAAATAAAATACAAATTTCTACAAAACTGAAAACAAAATAAACAGAATCAATGAGATCATCCAATATTTTTGTATTGTGTGTTTATTGCCTTTTCCACTTCTAGCTTTTGAAGATCCTTTCTAAAGGGAGGCACCATTTCAAGCACTAGAGATAGAATAGAAAACCCACAAATTTCTTTAATTCCATGCCTTCTATTTTAGGTAAGTACGTGTGACAGTTGAGCAAATAAAGCATGAACATCACAAATAATAACAAAAATATAAGCTTTTAAAGTAAAACAAAATTAGCATGACTATATTTTAACATACTGGCTGAATTATGAACTTAGAAATCCTATAATTTTCATGTAATGAGTTAATTTAAATAGAAAATACTAGAAGTCTTGAAAAAGTTCATGGGAAATTGTATATTTTTAAAAGATACAATGTGTGGATGTAAAAAAAAGTTTTGCAACAAAATAAACTTGTACTAACTCACTATAAAATGTCTGAACATAATCTTATCTGAGGCACTAATAAGGATAAGATATACACTTGAAAGAGCCCATCAGCACAACTAAATTCTGCTAAAATTGAAGTAAGAACAAGTGTTAAATTTATATTAAGCTTGAGATGAAAATAATGAAATCATTGATGCATTACAAAAGTTTATGGGGACACAAAAGAAGTCAGCAGTTTACAAATGGATTACTCGTTTTAAGAAGGAACGAGACCATGTTGAAAATGACACTGGTAGTGACAAACCATTCACATCAATTTGCAAGAAAAAATTAATCTCCTTTATGCTTTAAGGGGAGAGAACTGACAATAAACAGAAACAATAACACCATAGACATCTCAACTGGTTCAGCTTACACAATTCTAACTGAAAAATTAAAGCTGAGCAAACTTTTTGAGCAAACTCTTTGTTCAATGGATATCAAAACTGTAGCACCAAAGTTGCAAACGAGTAGAACTTTAGATGGAATTTTAAAGAGTGGGATCAGGATCCTAAAACATTTCTTCAAAGAACTGGAACAAGAAATGACACATCGCTTTACCAATAAATCCTAAAGACATAGCACAAAGCAATGACTGCCAAGGGTACAAATGATCCAGTCAGAGTAAAAGCTAACTGGTTAAGAGCAAAGGTCATGGCAACCATTTTTAGAGATGTTTAAGACATTTCATTTGTTGACTTTCTGGAAGGCAAAGAACAATGACATCTGCTTATTGTGACAGTGTTTTGAAAAAGCTACAGTTTTAGCAGAAAGGCACATGATAAAGCTTTCCCAGAGAGCCCTTCTCCACCATGACAATGCTTCTGCTCATTCCTTCAAACGAGGGCAATTTGGCTAGAGCTTAGATGGAAAATCATTAAGCATCCAACTTACTGTCCTGGTTTGGCCCCTTCTGTGTTTTGTTTCTTAATCTTAAAAAATGTTTAAAGGTCGATTTTTTTTCTTCAGTTAGTGATGTAAAGGAGACTGCATTAACCTGGTTTGATTCCAAAGGCCCTTGGTTCTTTAGGAGTGGACTAAATGGCCAGTATTATCACATGCATGAGTTTGATGGAGCTCATATTTATATTTTTATTCGTGTCATTTAGTTTCTTTTTCCATGAGCTTTTAAAAGTCTCCTCATATGTGAAATAAAATGCTAAGAAACTCTTCTTAAAAGACTAGTAAACCATTCTGCAGCCTTATGGTTAAGGTAACCAGATCCTACATGGCTGAATGCATGATTTAAATCCCGGACCAGGTGAGATAGGTGTTAGATCCACTTAGAGTAGAAAGGGTAAGAACCCCAAAAGGAAGTCATTGTGTTTTTCTTTATAATGAAATCTCTGTGTTTTTCCTCTATGGTCTGGTTAATGAAAATATATGCCCCTTTTACATTTCTCTAAAGAATCTATGATTCCTGGAACCAGCAGGTGGTGTGATGGTTAAGGTGCTGGACACTCCCACATGTCAGACCATGGTCAAGTCTGGACCTGGTGGCCTGCTTTCTCACTTTCCCTCGCTCTCTTTCTCTCTGTCTCTCTGTGGTCAAATTAAAATAAATGAATGAATAAATAAATAATTCTTAAAAAAAGAAAGAATCTATGATTCCTTGCTAATAAGGCAAGAGATAGGGATACTGAGCACACAGACAGAACAAGGCCAAGCTGAAGTCACAGTGGTTAAGTTTTCACAGCCAAAAGCTGGTTGCATTGAAATTCAAAGCAACTGTAGCTAAGGGTAACAGTTTCTATTCAGTAACTGTATTCTAACAAGAAAGGATCTGCTGACTCCTCCAAGAACAAGGTCATGAATCACTCAGATTACCATGTATCTATTTTCTAAATCCACTTTCTTTTCAGAAAGCCAGTCCATTACTCCCACTACTAAATACAATCCCCTTGCCTTGAGCCATTTAAGCCCCCTTCCACTGCATTGGAAGATTTTTCTTCTTCCCTAATAAACTCCACTTTGCTAGTCTGTGTCCACCTCTAATTCTTCATGAACATAGGACGAGAACCAGCACAAGTGTTTGGTCTGGTCGCCAAGCACTCTCCCATCACCAACAGCTTGAGAAACACTCCAGGCACATGTGCACACATTCCCAAAATCCCAAAAAAGAGGGAGAATTAAAGGCGAAGGGATTGAAGTGTTACCATGTCCTATGGGGGTGCTTTCTCCTCTCCCTCTGTCTCTGTTTTTCTCTGCTGAGCGCACAAGCCCTCTAGTACCCTCCCCCCCCCAAAAAAAAGACCAGTAAATTTGTAAGAAAAATGGTTATATATCTACATGTTTCTATAACTATACAACTTTAGCCATCAGCTGTTGAGAAATTGAAATTATTAGGAGAGTATAATAACGTAAAATATGGGGCTAACACATGGCAGGGAGATTAAGGTGGCTGAAGCCAAATATGTGGTTAGAGTCATGGATCCACTGACTTGAAAAAACACACTGGGCATAACAGTACGAGTCCCCAAAATCTCAAGAGGAGAATGGAGGAGAAAGGATTGCAGCACAGCCACTGAGGGTGCTTTTTCTTTCTTTCTCTCTTTCTTTCTTTTTTTTCTTCCTTTCTCTTTCTTTCTTTCTTTCTTTCTTTCTTTCTTTTTTTTTTTTTTGAGAGGTTTTTGCTATAGGGCGTATTTGCTCGCCCAAAAGACAGAGAATCAGAGAGACAAAAAGTGAGAAGTCACCACCCAGAGAGATGGCCACACTGTAACCCCTTCTCCTCCATTCTCCTCTTGGGATCTTGGGTACACACGCACACGGCCTGGCATGAGTTTAAGCCACCAGATCCAGGGCTCAAACCATGATCGATCACATGGGAATCCAGCGACATAGTCATTATGCCAACTGCTGGTCCCTGAGGGTGATTTTCACTTTTCCTTTCTCCATCTGTCTGTCTCCAGTGAATGCATGATAGAAGAAATTTATATATGTAATGTTAAAAAATTGACTTTATCTAAATTAGTCACACAGCTGGCAACTCAAAGTAAGCCTAAAGAAGTTCCATCTTCGTCTGTTTCATAGCACCAGCAAATACATAAGGGCGTGAACATGCCCACTACTCCATCCCTCCTATGCTGAATCCCTTCAATTACAGCTTGAGAAACAAAGTAAATCAAGCCCTCAACGACACTTCAAGGAACTTGAATATGATACATATCATTAATAATTTTATGTTGACAACAGTTTGAAATGATATTTTTATATATCTAGTTAAATAAATATACTGTTAAGAGAAGCATCAACTCCTCGGGGGTAGTTTCTAGCTGTCCTGCATCTTCTCCCCTGCAAATCACGTGAGGTGGTTGTGATCTCACTGATGAGCTCCCAGAAACGCTACATGGCTCATTCCAGCCCTCAGAAGCACCAGAATACATTTACCTTCAAAAATGACAAGTGTGATAAGAGTGTTCCTACCAAGAAAAATAATGCAAAACTTCATGACGGAGTACGTCAGTGCTGTAAAGAAGTTCTTGAATGGTGTGTAAAATACAGCAAATGTAAACCATTATCAAAACCTAAAAAATGTGTTAAATGCTTACAGAAGACAGTGAAAGACTCTTACCATGTAATGTGTAGACCACGTACCTGTGAACTTGAAGTTTGTGCAAAATGTGGAAAGAAAAAAGGAAATTGTTATTCTGACTAATAAAGAACCAGGGGGAAAAAAAAAAAAAAACAGAAAATACTGAAGATAATCTAAGTCCCAACTGGAGAAAAAGTTGCAGAAGAAATGAAAGTGATGATGATGTAGAGTTTGATATTGCTTTAGATGACACAGAAGATGACAATCAAGTGGATTAATATAGATATATTAAAAGTCAGTTTGAGA